TGGGCAGCTTTCCAGCCACTCTGCCCCAAAAAAATCTGAGCAGTTTAAACTTCTTGCTTCAAAGCAGCTTGAATTCCTCCTAAGTCAGTTCAACAATTTCTGGTGACAAGAGAAGAAAAGTTAAGTTTTGTCCAGGGTATTACAGACTGGTTGAGGTTGGGTAGAGACCTCTGGAGATCATCTTGTCCAATCCCCCTCCTCAGGCAGAGCCACCTAGACCGTGTCCAGGTGGTTTATGAACATCTCCAAGGACAGAGATTCCACAACCTCCCTGGGTAACTTGTGCCAGTGCCCAGCATCCTCACAGTAAAAAAAAAAAAAAAAAAAAAAAAAAAAGGTGTTTTCTGATGTTCAGAGGGGCCCTTCTGTGCCTCTGTTTGCACCCATGGCCTCTTCACCTGTCACTGGGCACCACTGAGAAGACAGCCAGGCTCTGCCCTCTGTCCCCTCCCTTTAGGTATTTATATACCCTGATACCATCCCCTCAAGCCTCCTCTTCTCCAGGCTGAACAGTCCCAGCTCTCTCAGCCTGTCCTCATGAGAGATGCTCCAGTCCTTCCATCATGTCCGTGAACCTCCACTTGACTCTCTCCAGTACACCCACACCACTCTCGTTCTGGGGAACCCAGCACAGTGCTCCAGGCACAGCTCCAGCAGAGGGGAGGGATCACCTTCCTCGACCTGCTGGCAACGCTGCTCCTAGGGCAGCCTGCTCTGCAGCAAGGACAGCATCTGGGAAGCTCCACTAGTGGCTGCATTCAAGTTGTAAAAGAGTTGAAATGCAACAATGAAAGCTCCCCATACAACCCTAACTCAGCACACACGTAGAGACTGATCCGTGCTACATGACAAAGCCACATCCCTCCCGAGCCACTGGTTAAGCACTACAACAGGCAAATTAAAAGCCAAGAGGAGGATCAGAAACCAGCTTCCTGATTTTGAAGACTGCAATGTGAAGATCAAGTTCCTTTAGGCTGCTGGGTGCTTGAGGAGTTCCCACCCAGTAAGTAAAGCGATTCTTGAACACCTGTAAGAGCAGCACCACAGAAAATTCACATTGCACTGAGCACGGCCGAGTCTGAACAGTGTGAGCTGAACTCTTGAATGAGACTGAAGTTACTCACTGCCCTCCATCAAGCAGGGTCTTCCACCACACTCAGTAATGAAACATGGAGCTTATATAAAACACATCGGGGAGAAGCGGGAGGGATGGGACAGGACAGTTAGCCTGATGCTTACTGCAGTCCTCGTGTTAACTCTTCATGTCCACTTGCCAAATTCAAGAAAAAGTGGGATTTTCCCAAAAATGGCTGAACAGTTAGCATCAGGCTGGAACACCTTACTCCCCCCACCTTTGAGACAACAGGGATTCTTATCCATGCAGACTTTGAAATAACATGTTTAATTTAAGCCCACACCTTCTGCTTAAGCTTTGGTGTTTAAATTAACCACCGAGATGTGTTCAAGACTGTATTTTGAGACTATTTATTCTACAATATGTATTCTTTAAGGAAAATTTACTTCAGAACTACTAATACAAGCAAGCTAACTATTCCACTGAGACACTCAGTGTTGTCCTCCCCATTCTTCAGAACCCATTTTAACAAGTCTAGGAGGAGCAAACATTTAGAAAGGCAGAACACAAATCCAAGATGCTAGCCACCTCTACTATCACAGCCAAGATCACTTTATCAAGATGCTTACAGAGGCAGAGAAACCTCCTTATTTATTTAGCTGTCTGACATAAAACTGCTCCAATAGCCCCCATGCTCAGGCCTTTGCTATCTCACTCAAGGAGGGCAGGAGCAGGCTCCCAAACCAGATAGTCCAACAGCCTTCTGGAGCAGCCAACCATCCTCCCCACCTCTGCCACGTAACTGCGATGATTAAGGAGCACTGACGTGATTTTTCAGGTCTTTCCACCAAAAAAGCGGCACTATGGATTAAAAGAAAGTGACTGCACACCCCTTCACCTTTGCCCTTGCAAGTTCAGGTGAAAAACATGTTCCTGGACTACAGCTAATTGCAACATAACATCGAGCCCATGGGAGCTGCTGACAACTTTGCCTGGCAGGTGCCTCAGGAGGAGGAAGGTGCATGAGATAAGCCATTTCCTGGAAGAACTGGTTCTAGTCCTCCCTGATTTCTCTATCAGCAATGAAAGAACACTTTATAGCCGTGTTCTAGATATCTGCTTATGGATTTTAAATTCAAACAGCTTGCTCCAAACAGCATCCCCTTTCACAGAGTGGCACAAACTCTAAGAAATCTACACTAAAAATACTAAACTGCTGCTTCGGAAAGGATGCAAACTTCATACTGAATAACTGAAGTCTTGTTATTAACTTTTAATTACCTAACCCCACAGCTTTTCCTACTAGCAACACATTTATTCTTTGATGAGGCTGTCAAAGAGTTCCCAGAGAGCTGAAATAGCCCCAAAGTCTACAAAGACGCAGTTCTAAACTGGCTGAAAACAAGATTTCCACCCTAAATGATTAGTTGCCTTTGTGGAATTTACTTATACTCGTTGAAGACAGGAATCCTGCTTTTAAGTGTCAGTTCTTGCCTCTTACTAAGTTAAGGTCTTCTTTCTGACAAGACATCCTGGTTATTTCTGAGGGAAATATTCTGCATTTCTATGAATCACCCATAAGAATTTATTTCATTGCCTTTAATTCCTTTGTGAAATCAACACCAAGGGAACTTAGACAAGACTGATTTCTTGCTGGCTACATGTGTATGCATGCTGTGCTACAGTGAGGAGAGAGTGTCCATTCATTTGAAAGTTCTGCAAAGAGTGAGAAGCAATCAGCAACACAGAGCCACCTACTATCAGCGAGTGTACTTTCAGAGGGCGATGGGGCAGTGGAAGTGGCTGAGCAGCACAGGACGGCCACGCTGATCCCATGCCTTACTCTGGCTAAGCCACAAGGACGCAGTTTGAAGAGGATAAGGAAAAAAAAAGTCCAAGGCAGAGAACAAGAGATTGAGATGTTAAGAGCATACTGTAACTGTATTTGGGTCACAAAATTGATGTTCAGATATTATTGAGAGTTATAAAAGTTGACAGTCATTAACACGCAGGCCACTGACGCCCTCAACTAGACTCTAAAATTCTTGCCTCGTCTTTCTCCCCACTGTCTTAACTCCAGTTTATCCTGCAGTATTTTTCAAAATGTCCTATCACCCCACTGCCAACAAGGTTATTTCAGACTCTCTGAAACAAATGAAAGATACCAAGCCACATGACATGTTCTCCAACTACAGCATCCTAACCAGTTAGAATTTAACCAAAACACTGTAGATGTCAGTACTTAGTGCTTCTAACAGTAGCTAGTACTTGACTGAAAGGATTTGTAAGGAAAACTGCGTCAACCCGACATCTTCCCTTTGCTGACATCATTTCTGAAGTTAAAGTCACAGTGAAGACCTCCAGCTTCACGCACCAGCCCATTCACTTTTGTCAAGAGAGAAGTCAATGTATCGTTTTGCCTTTCCATCTGTTTCTACAGATGCAGAAGCCTGCAGCTGGACAGAGACGGCAGGAACTTCTGTGAGTTCAGTAAAAGGGAGACAGTTCTGATGTGCAAGGGACAGGTACCATGAGTTATATGTCTGAACCAAGAAGTGTCTGGGAACAACCTGTGTAGTTGGAGAGAAGTACAGGCAACAGGAGAGCCTCAGAGCTGGGACACAGCGTGAAGGGTGCTGTAATTAAACATCACAAGTGATATCTGTAGCATTCAATTACACAGACAGCATGAAGGTCCAAAAATGGTCAGGACATGGTCTGTGCACAGAAGAGACCAAAAATATTCTCAGTTGCCATGGGCAGATCTACACTTTCAGTAGCCAGAAAAATCAATAAAATTCAATCCTTGGCCTTCTTTCTTTCAAGGTGTTTATAACCTCCTATTTGCATTAAATAATAATAATATTGCTGCACCAGGCAAGGGATCTATTCCAGTCCCCCACGAGCTACCACAGTTCACAGGGACCAGGATGTTTTTAGGAAGAAAAAGATAGCGCAAGCTAGTTAAGTTTCAAAGCATGCTTTAGTAGACCCTGTCATTGGAAGCTTGGTTAAAAAAAATGACCAACACGGAATTCTGATGTTTTCTTGAAAAAGGGACTTTTTTTTTTAATAACAAAGAATCAAAGCAGGTTTAGGATTTTTCTAAAGGCCACAGCCACTGCCCTACATATTTTACTTGGTGTGCCTTTTGAACATTGAAGACTTCCGTACTAGGTTTAATTTTGTGTGAGGTTGGTTTGGTTTTTTTTTTTTTTTTAGTTAAAGCATTTAGATTCTGAGGCAAGGTGGCAGGACTATGTACTTAGTGCAGTAAGATTTCTCCAATCCGCTGGTGAAGGTGAGCGGTCTCCCTACAGTGACAAGGAAACTCGATGTCCAGAGTATCCTGCGCTCACAAACCAGCTGCAGTCAGATGTGGAGTCCCAAGACAGAAGTAGTGACCACATAAATGGCTGACACTAGGAACGCAGCAGTTTTTACATTCTAAATCCAGATCAGTAATTCATTTCAGAGTAAAATTAAATGAGCATTGGAGGTACCTTTTGAAATAGTTAGTGCTGGGGACCACTGTGATCGTAGAATATCAAGACAAATGCTGCCATTACTGTTAATATTTGGATGATAGATTCTTGTTGTAAATGCAACCTGCAGAAGAAGGAAAATTTCAGTGTAGGCTCACAAATGTACATTACACCATATGGTAATGAATAGATTCATGGTACAAGCCACTCACCTTAGGTGGTTTGAAGGGATAATCTGTTGGGAAGTGAATTGTCAAGAAAAATACTCCACCTTGATAGGGACTGTCATTCTGTCAATGAAAAAGAATCATTGCAGTTTGAGGAGTTATTACAAGACGACTGGTCATAAAAAAAAGCTATGAACAGCAATTCTCTCATACTTACTGGTCCCATTATTGTAGCTTGCCAATGGAACACTGAAAAAGAGAAAGATTCACTTCAGTTTGGCGAAGCTCAAGTAATGAACTACTTACTTCCAGACAAAGCAGCATAGAAAAATCTATTTTAAAAACAAAGCCTTCTGAAAGGCTGCAGAGAAGCAAGAAACAGAGACTGAGCAAAGTACTCGACACTCCACACTCAGCTGGTCCACGCTCTGGGGTTGCTGTGGTACCACCCGTGTCGTGCCCTGCAAAAAATCCCATTACAACAAAAATCCAGAGAGCTGTAGTCAACACTTCAGGCCCAACAAATTTGTGAGTTTAACTTTGCAGTTTCCAATGAAGCACCTGCATCAAAGCCCAGTTTCCAATGAGTGCACTCTCAGAGAACGCTACAGCAGAAGCACAGTATCAGCTCACACCTTTCTTTGGCAGGCTCTTCTACATAGACTCTTAGCTAAATGGAGAGTAAGCCTAAGCTTTGTACATACCACACATAAAGAGATAACCTCAGCCAGTGGTACTGTGACTGAATGTTTAATCTCAGTCTCCACAGAGGCCTCAAGATGTCATTAAAGCAGCAGAAAGCAATACAAGCCTTAAAAGAACACAAGAGCAACTGCCTGCTCAATACTCGGGACCAGGATGGGCTGATATACACTTCAGGTTAAACGGACAAAAAAAAAAAAAAAAAATCAGTCTCACTCAATGTATCTGCCCAAAAGAACATCTTGATCTGGTAATACAGAAGATTTGTAAACAATGTCTTTATGCTGCAGAATATAACAAAGCTGCACATTAAGAAGTTCTCAAGGTTCCTGTGTTCTCCAGAGGCCCTAAAGTTAGTCCATGCAGAAAGCACCAGCTTAAATTCTTTGTGAAACAGGACCATGGGAAGTTTCCCTCTGCATGGATGTCAGCTGCATTGCCTCTGCAGAACTGGGGAGCAGGACAGACAACGCCAGTTGGTGTAAGGTAAGCCTTCAAGACACAAATGCCAAAGCCACCTGCAGCTGTGTCCTTAACTCGCAGCTGGTGTCTACAGCTCTCAAGACTACCTGTGCCAAAAGTCATCCTGGCCCAGAGTGGAAATACTTGTTCTAATCTAGCATGAGCAGCTTTTAATTACACGTGGTACAGGCATTGCAACTGGGAATGATCTCATACAAGGAAGGGGAGAAAAAGCAGAATGGGAAAAGCACTGCCAACGCAAGGGGAGAGGAGTGTTTGGTTAGAGCCGCGGGTTTGTCACATAGGGCATTACAGCTGAGAACACCAGCCAGCATCTTGAGAAACTTTACATTCAAAGTAGAGCCAGGAAACCAAGACAGTGCCTCTGTGTTCATACACCGTGGTCACCTGTTGTAAAAGATTCAGACAGTTTTGCAGGAGTTCATATCACCTGCAATGGGACAGTGAGAAACTTAGAGCAAGAGGACAAAGGGGCAGCTGAAACCCAGCAGGGAAGAGTGTGGCTAAGCACAGAAAAACCACACAGAACTTCACAGGTGCCAGAAGATGCCGATAAGATCCACTGACTACACCAGAGCACACAGGCAGCATGGGACAATAACCTGCACACTGAAAAGAGAACCTGATATAACCAACTATTGTCCGAAACCCAACAGGAAACCAGGGGAAAAAAACGCTTTTGCAGTGAATCTTAACATTTTACAAGCTAGCAGGGTGGATTGGTTTGGTTTTTTTTTCTTTCCAACTCCCACCCCAGCCTCAAGGAAAGCACTTGTTTAACCGAGGCTTTGGGTTCTCACAACATCCAGGGCGAGTCTGATGGACTAGAAGATGGATTTGTCGTGCAGAGTTTATTCCAATTAACTCTTTACCTTGAAATCAAACATTCAAAAAGTTATTGACAAAGTAAGGGGGTTGTTGACTTCCAGTAGCTAAGCACAGGTACACATTTGGAAGTCAACTAAGCCACTGCCTAGCACTCTGCAAGTACACCAGTGTCATCCAGTCCCAAGCATATTTCCAAAAGAAAGGTCAGGGGTGGGTGGAAGAGGGCTAAAGCTACACTGCCAAGGGAAAGAAAATCCTGCCCCTACAGTTAACAGAGCAGAAACAGCTCTTCACCTTCCAGACTGTAGGAACTACAGGGACGAGAAGCTTTAACTGAGGACAGTTTAGATCAGCTGGACTAACCACAAGATATCACTTTCAAGACAGCACATCCTGAACTCTGAGCAATGTCATTCTGACAAGGTAACTGAGGCAGACCTACAGCACAGGGATCTTGGAGAAAGCACCTTTCCACTGCTGCCACCGCTATCCACTGACATACACCTGAAGCGTTGCTCTCAATAGTGAAAGTCTTTCATTAGAGGTCTTTCAGACAGGTGGCACAAGGAAAAGAATTAACTAAAACTTTCTGTATTCAGCAGTAACTTTCCATTAGAAGCATTCACAAACTTCTGTTACCACCTCCTCCAGCAGACCAACTCCATCCCCTGATAGTCTTTGGAAACTAGAGAGTAGATTACTATGGCACAAATCACACTTGCTAATTTAAGGAAAGAAAAGCCCCATACCGCCTCTACATCTTAGTAATTTCTCTTCCATGAGACTACAAGCTGCTCTGAAATACTATTTTGAAATCAGAAATAAGATGGGGAGTAAATACAAGCCTGACACTACTGCTAAAAACCAAACGCAGCTTTCACTTGTTTGCAAGCATTGTTGAACAGTGACATCTCCACTAATTTCAGTATTTTCATTCTCAAGTTTCAAGTGCTTTTTTTAACCTATTCCTAGATTTCTATAGGCATGTGTAAGTTTCTATACACTTCACCACCTCTGAATAGTTCAGAAATGATTCAGTAATATCTTGGTAGCTCATTTTTTCCTGTCGGAAAGGACACCTAAGCTTAGAGTTCTTAGTGCGTAGATGGAGGTTCCCCTCCTCTCGTGAGCTTGGGTGCTTCACTGAACAGCATGCTTGGCAGAGAGACCGCCTTGCACAGCAAGTTCAACGCACGCTGTTCCACAGGCATCCCAGTCAAAGCTTCCAAGTGTTCTTATGTAGCCTCTTCTACACGGCAGAGCTGCTACAAGACAGACTGTAAACACGTTTCCTCATCCCATGCATGAAAAGCCAATGCATTTAATTCACAATGCAAGTACCTGAATCTACTCCAGAGCCTGTAGTAAAGTTATAAAGCAAAAAGTGAATTTGGAAGAGTTCTTCTCACTGCAAACATCCTATTGACCTTCCTTACCAAAGCCATGACCAAGAGTTTAATGCTTCTATAAAAAAAAAAATATAGTTCACCAGAAACTGTAAAATCCTAGTTAAGAGAGAAGCCTGGACAGCTTGTGAAAGCACTGCAGGTTAGCTGGAAGGACTCTCACAAAAAGCCATCAGGAAGCACAGGCCAACAATTAAGTTGCCTTATTCACAGCTCATCAAAGCAACTGAGGAACATTACCTAGAACTAAGATAAAGAAGCATCCATATGAACATCATCAAGTGACACAATACAGCTTGCCCTCGCTTTAAGCAAAAAAACAACGTGCAGAAGATGAGAGTACATCTTCTTACTATAAAACTATGTTAGAAAAAAATTTCAGGGTAGGACTTAAAGCAGAAAAAAAGTAGTTATTATTTAAACACCGCACCTCAAGCTTCAAAAGGACAAAACAACAAGCCCAAATCACACACCAGAAGAAAGACCCTGCACAGGAAAGACAACCAGCTGATGCATAGGCCAAAATGATGAGCCTAGACTATCCTCTATATGGAACCTGGCAGAGTCAACTGATTTGAGTCGTTTTCAAACATAACAGTACTGTGGGATTTAAGGATGTTCCACCTGCACTGCCTAGCTCATACCCAAGCAACTGGTCAAGCAACCAGTTAGTCATGACAGCAGGATTTAGACATTCTGAATTTGCTTAGTGAGAAAGACATAAGTAGTATTCCAAATTGAGTGAAATTCTGCCTAAAAATTAAGGGCCAAACCTGTTTTTTCAGTTCTGATACTCTGGTGTGCTCTATAACACAATAGGACAAAAGAGACTGAAGAACAAGCAATGTTTCCTGGGTTCCTACAACTCAGCTGAGCACAGTAACTAATAAAGTTCTAATAAAACCCACCATTACTTCATGATTCAAGTTTTAATTTACTAACTAGTTTTCCTTCCATTCACGTTTTAACTTCTTATCCACAAGGTCAGGTCTACATGTAACCCTCTCAAAAAAAAAATGCAGTGCCAGTTAACCCCGACCTTGCTGTACCAGCATCTACTATTAGGAGTAGATTGTTTCACTTCTACTGGACCACGCGACTACACCACAGAGTTCAGATATCAAAGAAGTCCAAGCTGTAGACAGCTGCTTGCTGGTTTGCCCACAGAGCTACTGAAGCTTACAAACTTCTGCAGACAGCATGCCCTAGGAGAATGCCACAACAGTTACTCAAAGGTGTAACTTCAGATGTCTTCAGGACACAGTACGTAATCAATGGGAGTGCCTAACATCTCCAGTGACACACGAGGTACAGAAGGGAAGATTAGTGTGTGGAGTGGTATGTAGTACTCTAACCAACAGTAACAGAAGGGTTCTTGCTAAGGAGCTGTACATCCCGTTTTAGAAGGAAAAATGTTAGCAACCGCAAGTGTTTGCAGACAGTAGCATACTT